CGACGGACAATCACTCATATGATAAGCTCCGCTCGACAAAGTCGACAGCGGAGCTAAAAAGATGTGGAGAGTGATTTTTACTGTACATGTAACATGCTGGGATGTGCAGGGCGTTCTTGAATGTATTTTTTTATCCATAGGAAGTAAAATGATTGGGTTACTTTAATTCGATGATTTCGGAAATTTGAAGAAACAACTTTACTACACCAAGGGAAAATGTATTTGTAATTTCATGAGTCCAGAAAAACAGTGATATATTTTATAGCATTGAACATTCAACATTGCAGTGTGTTTTGTAAAATTTAGTTATCATACATGCGCACAACCTAGGGCTGACAGGATAAGGGTTTAACTATCAAATCATGATTGGTGTAATCTTCTACATGTAATTGTGATGTCCATGTTCTGTCATGTTCCATGAGAGTGGTTTTATTATTCAATGATTATTCAAGAACGAACACAGTGTAACAAGTTATTACAGACCTGTAATTGTTGTGAATCATCACTGAGGTCTCCTTCTCGTCTGCGGGCCGCTTCCAGTAACTGGGCATTCTTCTTCTTTTGTGTCACTTGCTCTCGTTTCAAAGTGGCTAGCCTCTTACTTGCATCTTTCAATTGCCTAGTACACAAATGGAGAACAAAATATCTTGATATTATTAGTTTTTAATTCAATACAGAGATATTACAATGAAGATGTGGTGTCCACACCAACCACAAACAAGTCTGTCTGTACTACGATGATCAAATCGGCATGCAATGTCCTACCTAGTATGGCTACTGGTATTGGTTGATATTCAAAAGCATGCTATTAGATTTCTTCCGAAAAATTGAGGTGTTAATTTAGATTTTTTTTTTTTAAATTGATCACCAACTAATATGAAGTAGGGTTAGTTTTGTGTGTGTGTAATAAATAAAAATAAATAAATGAATGAATAAATAAATAAATAAATAAATAAAAAAATAAATAAATAAATAAATAAATAAATAAATAAATAAATAAATAAATAAATAAATAAATAAATAAATAAATAAATAAATAAATAAATAAATAAATAAATAAATAAATAAATAAATAAATTAAATAAATAAATAAATAAATAAATAAATAAATAAATAAATAAATAAATAAATAAATAAATAAATAAATAAATAAATATAGATAAATGCTGCCACTGTAAAACATGAGAATTGAATTGAAGTAATGGGGTATATAGAAGAGTGCACTGAAGAATCTGCAACTAAGAGAAGAAGGAATGAGAAGTGCAAAAATGGGGATAGAAAAGGTCAAAGCTGAGAGCAGCAAAGACACCACTCACCCTTCAAATTCTCCTTCAAGTTTACTAGTAAGCGGTAATAAAGTACGATAGAAATTACATTATGAAGTAAAGCAATAAGAGGCCAGTTATGTAAATCAGTGATAAAGAAGTATCAGCTACAACCAAGAGTTCTGAACATTGTGGGACGTTGAATAATGGTTGGCAACTGACGAGAGAAAACAAGTTGATGCAAAGAGATTTGTTTTTTTAAATGAGTGATTATGGTGGTCTTAGAAAAAAAAACATCAAGTAGATTTCGATGCAGTTTTGGGTCACAATAGTAAAAGTTTTACGTTTTCCTTGGGTAATATACACTCAAGAATGTACAGAACTGTTACTGGCAAAGTAACATTTTGATGACCGAAAAATCTGAGCACAAACAAATTTGTATTTTTACAGAAAATAATCTCAATTCAGTTGCAAACCCATATTTCAAGACCCATGATATCAAGAAAATCCATGAAAAAAAGCCTGCCACCACCAAGATCTATACACTATAAAAAATACTGAAGCCGAGTCAACAGGAGTAAGCCCGTACAGTAAACTGGCAAATATGCAAAACGTGGCACACACAATCTTTCTCTAATGGTAAACCATTAGGATGTACACTTTACTTACCCTTCCAGTTCAGCTATTTTTTGATCTTTAGCATTTTTCTCTTCTTCCATTTGCTTTAATATATCTAATAATCTATCTACTTCTAGTTGCGATTTACTAACTTGATCTCTATAATGATCAATTTCGTCTTCTAAAGACTTCACCCTTGAGCCCAATTCCCCATCTTTACTGCTCTCCCTCTCTCGCTCTTCCTTCACCTAACAAGTGAAAAATGTTACAGAGTTAGGCAGGATCGAAAGTTAGGCAGAATAGCTACTGACTTGCAGAATGACATTGAAGACATTTTTTTATTTAACTAAGCTAATTTTCCAATGCTATGACAAAAATGGTGACACACCTTACTTACTGGTAATGAAGAGCATGCAGCAAATTCTACATGGCTGAGGAAGGAGTGGCAGAGTAACAAATTAAATATTTATATTCTGTGATTTGAATACAGATTCTTACCTTTGTTGATTTCACATGCATGGGAGGTTTAATAGCATGTTATTTCTACTTATTATCACAGCTATCATATATTTAGATTTTTTGTGACAATTTAAAACAAATATAAAAATTGTATGTACATGTGATAATTAATTAATATTAGGTACGACCGACTGTCGACATTCTATTAATACCAATGGGCTGCTCTAAGATGTGTGGCATCTGGCATAAATTGGTAAAGAATAATTTCTCGATTACAATCGAAGGAAACATGATCCACGACAATACCGTAGCTACAATTTTTTTCTCTCCTTTTAAAAATGCACAATCACCTTCCCGCATATGTATATACCATTTCATCACCAGGAAATAGAATTTCTGAATGCCTTGGGGTCATTCACACAAACATTCATAAAAGCTGTACTGCACGTTTCAAAATTCCTAATAGTATTAATCTCAGATTTGAATATACCTGATATTTCAATGTGACACAAAAAGAACAAAAGTTTTTTTTAGTAAAAGGATATATTTTTTTGTATGGTAAACATATGGAAGCTGTCATGAAAACTGATGTTTTTTTTTGTTTTGTCATCAACTGTTAGAAATCTGCTAAGTCACAAGTCACTTTTAAATTTTGCAATATATAAAAGAATTACAGACTAGCAATTGATTAAAAGCTAGTGAACATACCGTATAATAGGATATACTTGTATATGAATAAATATGTTTTAGATTATAGGGCATTGCAATAAAATCAACCTCAGCCAAGCAGAATATTTCTTCATATACAGGGGTACTAACATAGTAACCATAACAATATAAGACAAACAAAAAATACAAGTTAATTATAACTGTAATATCATGAAGATTTATAAAAAAAATTAATTCTTCAATAAAAAATAAAACAAAATTAACGTCCAAGTATCTGAGTTTGATCAATTGAAGGTTAGAATGCAGCAACAAGAAAATCAAAGAAAATAATGGTATGAGTACCGGTTATATGTTCTATAATGGAGCAGAAATCAGCAAGAGTGCTGTGCATGGAATACAAAATATAAGAAATTAGTTGATCATATATCTGTGCCGTTTTAAAACTCAGATCATACAGCGGGAGATGAGGAATTGAATAAAAGAGGGCAGGAGGGAAAAAACGAAATTTTTTTTTTTGAAGTAGAAAATTCAAAATAATATAATGTTGAGATTCAAAGTCTAAAAACTGCAAATACCAAAACTATTGTGAACAAGCAGCATTCTGGGAAATTAGTTTTCACTTACCCATAAACTGAATTGTCGATTTTTCTGATAACAAGCAAGCAAAAAGGACAAAGCAAGCATATCATGTGTAAGGGTATAAAAAAAAATCTAGTGATGGTTGGTTGGGTGGGTGGGTGTGTTTTGTGTGTAGTTTTCATTACAGTACATCACCATATGTAGTCTCAAAAATTGGTAGCACATCATCCATGTGGATCTGAATGTTTTATACATACATGTACAAAGCTGCATAGTCAGAAAACATTTGATATTTGAGCATTGAGCACATTGATGGAAGTATGTATGTTTGAAAAAAATATTTTACGTGAAAAGACGCTTTTAATAGTTGGAAGACTGTTGTGATAGTCTAATCACAACATTCGATCTAGAAAAGCACAAGCTTTTATAATAGTAAAATTTCTGTCAAATACAAAATTTAAAATTGATTTAGATTCAGGGTGATAACAGCACAAAAAAGCTTTTTTTTTCAGCTTACAAAATACCTTCTAATGACGCAAATAGAGTAAGCAAAAGATTTCATCATGATCAACTGTACTACTTATTCTAGAGAACACACATAAACAGACTATGGCATATCACAATAAAGATGTACACTATCTGGATCAACTACACAATAAATAATTCAGTATAAAAATCAAGTTCATACTTTTTATGATAGTTTAAAATTCATTACCTGAAATACATATTTTATAAAGTTATTTTTTTTTTAATTCAAAATGAATTGTCAGTAGTTGGGTGACTGCCAACACATGCTATTCCAAAATAATTGAATACACACATCATTTCAATCACACCAGTAAACCATCGTAACAAGTACTATTTAAAGTATACTCTCAGGCACCAATATAACATCACTTACTCGCTTTATTTCCATCTCCATCTTGGCTAAATCTTCTGACTTTTGCTGCAGTGATCTCTCCATTGTACTTAGCTTGGTATCTTTCTTGAATGCAGAACTTGTGAGTGACGATGCTTGATCCTTCAAGTCCATTAAACTTGTCTAAAAGTAAAAAAAAAAATCATAGGTAAAGGTATCCAGAAAAACATACAATACAGCCTAGGAAATTTATTAAGCGTGTTGAAAGCTGCAGTGAACAGCAGTTATGGACCCCACTTCTATTGTAAGCAAATACCGATATAATTCAAAATACCTCCTTTTCTTCTACTTCTTTCTGCAATGAATAGACCCGATCTTTCAACTCTTTTACTTGTTTCTGAAACATTTCACTTTCCTCAAGTCGTTCGGCATCTTCTCTCTCACGCTGCTCTTTAAGGTGCTCTATCATTCTCTCTTTGTCGCTAAGCGCTTCCTCCAGACTGGACACAGCACTGTCAGAGCTGCTATGATCAGTCTGCATTGACTTCATGCGCTCTCGTACGTTGGAGAGCTGTATATCCTTATCACTCAACTGTTCTTGAAGGTTATCAAGCTGCAAAAGAGAGTGAATGTTAAATCTTTGTATTTAACATTCTACATGTTGTTATCTTTCCATTGTAGTACTAGGTTGGCATTCTGATGATGATTTTTTAGAGCAGAAACATAAACTGTGCCAGACAATTTTGTTGTTGTTGTTGAAACCCCTAAAAGTTTGAAAATTTTCATACATGTATTTTTAAAATCAAGGATTAACGCATAACTGCAGTATGTTTATTATTTCTGGGTGACATGCACATTCCAATAAAATATTTTTTGCTTGATTTTATTTTCAATAATAGATCATTTTCCTTTCACTGAGATCCAACATTACCGGTATGTGTGAAATTAAATGTAAAAATGCATCCTCAGAAAAATTTGCATTCCAATATTGAACCAAAACATTTTTTCTAGTTTAGTGGTCCATCTTTGACACTTTATGCAAGATCTAGCACTGACAGAAAATCACCTACTTGGCGGATTGAATCATATAAACTTTTACTGATTACATGTAAAGTTGGCATGCAAAATATAAATTATAACTGAAAACACAGTATATTGTACAGTAATTGAAGGCACTAGAGAATACAGAGACAGACAATTGCGACAACATCAAAGTAAAAAAAATTATGCTATGGTGCATCACACTAAGCGTTCCTGTGCTTACAAGTCAAGAATTGCCATTCCACAAATATGTTCACAACAGACGAGTTTATGTATGACTCTTCACATACTGTCGGCATGTTTTTAATTGAAAATTGATGAATAAACACAAATCATAATAGACCATTTTCCGTACACTGCGAGAATCACGCGTTATGCGTGAAATCGAACGTAAAAACAGGACAAACAAAGGTCATAGCGTCGTAGTCGCGTCAAACATCGCGTGGGATTCGACAAACGCGAAAGTATTTCGAGGACATTTCCATGCTTAATAATGTGCTGTCCACATTTGATGATAGGCAATTTCGATTAAGTGAGGGTATTCGGAAGCCATATTCCTCTGTCGAAGATTGGCCGGTCAATGTAAGCTACGAAATAAAGAAATTCTAGTTCAAAATCAAATCGTTCGATTTTTGCGGCAGACGTTCGACGCGCGTTCTCGCGAGATCTCTCAATTGTTCGGAAAATCACCTATTTCCTTGCACAGAGTAACAAAACACAGTTGTGTAAGCTGTTTTGAATAATGAAGTATCAAGTTTATCTTCTGAAACTCATAATGCATCTACGTAAGCATATTTTGAAATTAGTCTATCAAAGAAAAAAAAAAATTATAATTTTTTTTAAATTTTGTATGTTTCTGATGTAACTTGTCTTGTAATTTTCGAACATAATCAGAAATGTTATTACATTATAGAAAAGACTGCAGTTGCCTGTCTCACTATTCTGTAGCATCTTTGGTGCTACGAAAATCGCAATATCAGTATATTTTGCAAATTTAAATACTCAAAAGACAGCGATTCTGGTGATAGGAAAAACTGATGTGTACTCAAGACAAGCTGACATTTATATCATAAAAGTTGTCTTTCAACTTGATTTTCACAAATGCAACCACAGAAGAATGAGAAGACTGATTACATAAGCAATGAGGTGTACAATTCAAACATGGTTAACAAACACTGCTATTGAAAACAAATGAAACATTATTTCACATTCTATGAAAGTTACGAAAAAATGCAATAAAAGAACAGTATATTTCACAAATACAATCTCAGTTATAAAAAACTGCAGTTATTTTACAATATACTGAATTGTATTATCAAATCCATGCATAATTACAAAAAAAAAATTGAAGAAAAAAAAAACGTCTGGTAGAGAGTAAAAGCAGTGGCTTTATTTCATGAAATGAGAACCAAAAGCAAAAATAAAACAATTCAACTATGACGAACATTTGAACAAAACTGGGATAAATGACAGGGGAGTGGGAGGGGGGAGGGAGGGGTAATGGTGGAATAAAAAGCGACGAAGTATGAAATTATCTTTCACCTTAATCTGAAGTACATTTATTTTTCTATCCTTGATATCCAGTCTATTTGGCATCTCAGACAGCTCAAAACATAAATATAAGAATTCATTTGTGAGCGATATTGCAGTGAGGGGGGAGGGGGTTAAAAGGGTGAACAGCTGGTGGGTGGGTGGTTGTATGCTGATGATAAGTGCAATATAGCAAAGTATATGTGGTAAGTATAGGGGTAAGATTCAGTGACATGTGGGGCATTGTGACTTGTGCATAACATGCTGTGTTAAGTGAAATAACACTAGTATTGTGTGAGATGTCCAATCAGATGAAGCAGTGTGTTAGTAGAGTGAGCAGCCTGGAGTTTCAGAAGTTGATTTTTATTATAGTATTAAGATGTACCAGTAAGTAGGTTGGGGTGATTGTATCCCATATAAAAGAAGATACTTTCGTACAAGATGAACACTGGGAAGACAAATACATCTTGATTTCTTCACACTTTCTTTGTTTCGGTTTCAAGTATGATTTAGCAAGAGGTTGTCACATCAGTAAAAGTCAAATTGGAACTGAAACATTCACCTATATAACCAGCAAACCATTGACTTAGTGAATTCTGATACATTAAAATTAATTGTTTGTGTGCAGGCAATACACCATTATCAAAGCAATTCATTCACTACCCGCAGGAACAAAGATTTTGAGATAAGTGACAGTCCTCAGAGTAAAGCTTTATTATACAGACATGCAAAAGTGCTCTACACTTAGACTGAAAACGAAATGAAAGGTGTTCATTAGTTTCCACATTATGTTAGGTTAAAAAAGCAGTATTTTCAATTTTATGCTGTATGTTCATTGCAGTACAGTAATTAGTTTTTGCCGAAAGACTAAGCAAGTTTTGATATGCAAGGAGTGACCCCCTAACACTGTGGATAATCAAAATGCTGGGTAGAGCTCTGTAGAGATGAGTCTCTTCATTTACCAAATCTAACCTTACCTTTCTCTGGATGACGTTAATTTTTCTATCTTTAATGTCTAACATATCTCTCAATTCACTTATTTCATTATTGAACTGACTCCTCTCCTCACTTAGGCTACTGATCTGTTTGTTTTTCCTGTCAATGAACGCCTCTTTTTCTTCTATTCTTGCTCTCAGTGCTTCAACCTGAAAAGAGAAATTTGGAATCTAAATTTCAAAACTTAAATAAATGGCTGATGAGCGATTCTAAAACACCAGGTGAAACTTATCACACTTCCAAAAGATAGTTATTTGATAAATAAACCATCAATATAGTAAAATAGTGTTGTTTGCACTGATTATCAAAAATCCTTGTGCGAAATTGTTGGTTATCTATGCCCCAAGAAAATATTCTTACATCTGCTTGTAGCATGTTGGAATGTTGTTCTTTAGCAGCAAGTGATTCTTTCAAGACATCAAAATGTGCCTGCTTATCAGACAATTGAATTGTCAACGTGTCTAATTTAGTCTTGGTTGTCTGTAAGTCAGCATGTTTCTGAGCCAGGTCGCTTTTCAGCTGATCAATCTGTAATTTAAAAAGAAAATACAGCTATATGTAGGTCTCTGATTGCTGACTATTTTAGCATGCAATAAATCAGTGTGAAAACGAACCATGCAGCGTTTGCTAACAAAAGATGTAAATATTTTGATATAAGCAATCTAATCGGTGAATGCCAAATCAAAAAAAAAAAAAAAAAAAACAGCCCAATGATCTGAAATTAAATGAAATTCGCATTTTTGTAAAATGTCAAACCCTTTAACTAAGTATTGACCTTTTCACATGAGTGCTTGTTCACCAAGCAAAAAAACAGATGAAATACCAAATATAATTGAATAAAGTCTCACACCTGTCTTTTCATAAACTTGGAATGACCTCTGTATTCTTCTATTTGCTTTATCTCCTCAGTCCTTTCCTCCGGACTAATAGCACCACTGGAACGAAGTTTGGAAAGTCTCTCTTCAAGTTCTTCTACTTGGCTTTCCAAAGCTGCAATTTTGCCATCCTAGATGATGACAAATAAAATTAATGTTATGAATTTAACAACAAGGTGATTACCTTTATACAATGAGCTGAACAAAAAAAAAAAAAAAAAAAACTGCATGAAGTCTCACTTGTAGATGGCGAGTATTCCACCTTCTTTTCCCCATATATTAGTAAACGATTCATATATTAGTATATGATAGGGCAAGGTGTACACCATGTATAAGGAATAGGGGGATGGAATAGAACTCTACAAATGAGTTGAGTGAGGAAATGCTGGATAGTTTTGACTGGAATGAACAGAGTATTTTACCACAAGACATCAATCGATAGCACAAAGAACATATTTTTTTTTTAAATAGCTTAAAAAAGAAGGTTGGAAAAGATATGCAACAATGGATGGGAAATTATATAACAAATGCTATTGAATGAATTTATTTCTAATCACGACAAATTAATAACAGTCAAGAATCATTGCATTCCGTCTCGCCTGCTTTTTCCACGGTCGAACAATTCAACACTTCAATGACAAGACAATTTTAATTTTTTTCTTTGGAAAAAGGAAAGATTATACAGATTCATGCAGAGTTATTGGAAATATTAAACAAAACATTGATTGACCTTATGTGCGAAAGGTGCATACAAAAAAAGCAGGCAAGAAGACATCATGTGACAACCACATGACCATCACATGATTCATCATATGACCAATCAAATTTACAAACTGATACCTTGACTTCTATGATAGTTTTAAGAGCTGTAGCTTTAGGAGAGTCTTGAGACTGCAAGGATGAACCAAGCTGTCGTTCTAATTTCCTACTTTTCTCAGCGTTAAGTGCTAGCTCCTATTCACCAGTAGTAGATAAAAAAAAATAAATCCAATGCAGAAAGAAAGAGAGGAATTATGCTAAGAGGGGAGAGTGTCAGTCTTACCGGTCATGCTAACAAGAAACTGGATTAGTAGGAATACAGTTGAACGAGACTTTGCAACAGAGTATTACAATTAAGAGAGTTAAACTTGAAGGTGTTACTGTTATTTCCACACAAGACATGTAAGATCCTGGAGTGTTCACACTGTGGGGTTTCAATGAAGCATCGTGTGGGGTGGGGGTTAGGTCAGTGCAGGGCAGGGCAAAAGTCACAAAAAGGACAGGTTGTCTACAATTGTATGTGTATGTGTACCTGTAGTTATTTACTGACATACAGTTTGCATCCCCTCCCCACAGTGCGCATTCTAAGACAGACACAGAGTCAGAAGTTTGAACACTCAACAGTTGCTGGGAAAAAAATGTAACACTAAGTTTTGTTAGCAAGTAAAATTTCCAAGAACGAAAAGTATAGCTGGATGTTTCAGCCAGTTACAGGCAGTTTTAGCCAGTTACAGGCAGATGTAGCATATACATTACAAAGGTCAATACAAGTACCGGTAATATTACATGTATAATGATTGCGATTATTTGTTTATATGACCTTCTTTCTTCTTCTGGAGATCCGCTTTTAACAGAGAGAACACAATCCATGGGGGCGGACATCCGGGCATTTTCTACCGCCTGGCAACCCTTGCGGTGAAAACAAAGACCAAAAACTCGCAGAAAACGGTACTTTGCGATGGTTGTTGAGAGTCCCCTGAACAGTGTAACAAGATTAGCCCTACGTGTGTAACATATATGAATTTGGTTGTTCAGGATTACTTCAAAGTTGAGTTTGTGTTGTTTTCTCGAGTTTTCACCGGCTCCACCGGCCTTCCACAGCAGCACGCACAGAGCCCATAGAAATGCATGTACAGTGGTGCGCGTCTTAGCAACGTGGAACGTCTTGTGACGTAGCTCCGCCCCCCGAGGATAGGAGCAGTAGGGGTATTTCCCCTCTCAATCATGAACTCATACTTTCGTGAAGTATGTTCATATTCTCTGGAATGATTTCCTGTGCATTTTGAACACAGACATTAATAAAATTACATATTTATTTACATTTGTTTAACTACTACATGTGATTATGCATCGATAGTGGGGATAGACAGCAAGAAATAAATCAGCATTTGAAAATCAACCTCAATTACTGTAAGGCACTAATAATTCGCAAAGCAACCTTTTTGAATCTGTGGCACATGTTGGGGCAATCTGCGAGTGTTAAAATAGACAGTCCTTATAACTGAATAAGGTAAAAGGTAATAGATGTTATTGTGATAGACTGACTAAGCCTTTGCAACTTAATTTCAAACTAAATCTCCACTGGGTGCTAATGTGATTAACAGCTTCCAGATATGCTACAAACAAATGAAAGTTAAACAAGTTCAGACAGGTATCTTGCAATTCATGTATTTTTGTTTACGTCACTTACCAATCCATATATAGCAAAATATACATTGTAATAATTTATAAAGCAAATTAAAAAGCTCCTTATTAAAAAAAAAATCAAAAAAAAAAAATCGAATATTAAAATATTAAACTTTCCTGCCTCTGTTCATAATAAGTTGGGATGCTTCTGACTATACATAGAAAGTAGAATGTTTCAATGTTTAGAATCACAAATGCTGACATTATGAAATCTCAAACGATATTTGAAATGTTTATGTAAAGAATGCTGAGACAACGTGTTACAACAAGCACACAAAGCATAAATTGCCATTTTACACTTCACATTTCTATGAGAATTATTAATTGAATTCTTGGAACTTAAAACTACAATAGGTCAGACCATCATATGCTTCAGACCTAAAGTTAAGATTAAAATAAAAGCAGTCTTAACAACATCACTGTACAGAACAAGGTGAAGATTAGATGTATGTGACTGGAATACTGATCTGCACTAAATATAATAACTTTCATTTGTTATCACAAAATTAATTAAATATTAATACTTGCTATCATTACTCCAGGTGAATCAATAGGAAAATCAATAACATGTTCTGGTGTGATCTATTGTATTTGTATCTTGGAAAATGTGAAAACTACCTAAAATTAGTAAATATTTGTGAATACCTGACATGTATTCTATACCTGTACGACAATCAAACAATGTAACTTACCTGTTTATAGTTACCAATTCCTTTATCTTTCAAAGCAATTTTATGTTCTAATTGTGTGACTTTGGCTTCACTTTCAATGAGTCGAGTTCTCAGTCTATCAAGTTCTCGGTTCTCTTCTAGACTCTGTACCGGTAAACCTTTACTCTGCAGCATTTCAAGCAGCTTTTTAATCGACTCGTCTCGTGCAGCAAGAGTTTGTTTCTGCGTATCAATCCTCAATTCCATCTCTTCCAAAGTTTTTCTCAGTAAGAAGAGCTCTTTGACTTGTCGTTCTTTTTCGGTTTTAAGCTCAGTATCTCCACGTCCTGGGGACTGCTCGAAAACGACACAAGATCTTCCAAGTGATGTTTCAAGTCACGCTGGGTGTGTAATTCATCTTGAAGGGATTGAATGGTTTTTGTCAGCTCCTTTAAGATAAAAACAACAAGAAATTTGAGAAATATAGTGTCTGTGATCAGTGCCTAAAATATATATTGGTGTATGCAGAGCTTTGCTTAAGGTAGAGATGCAGGTTCGTGGGCACTTGGGAGTGAAATTTTTTTTTTAGCTTTTTATTATCCAAACAGTCATTGCTATAGATTTAAAATTTTGTAGAATTTTGAATAGTGGGACCATGGAACTATAAACCACAGGAAGAACAACCACTTTGTTTCCTTTGAACTATGATAGTTGCCACGATGTCCAACGTTTATTTTGACTGTTTATTTCGTTGCTTTAAAAAATAAGCCAATTTACGCAAATGAACGTTAATCTCCAACTATCAGTCATTTTCGGAGTCAATCGGGCTACTTCGGCAGATCAAGTGATCGAGTTGTTTTGGTTATAGCATAAAAAAACAATGGCGCCAAGACAAAAATGAGCGACATTCAACGGGAAAAAAAACACATTGCCATATCTGGCGATCGAAGAGAAACATGGAATAAGTCGGGATATCTCGACAACAAACGGCATACCAAACCCCATGTTTCGCAAACTCTTGCAACCTTATTTTTTCGAGGGTTGAAGAAAAAAAAAGTAATCCAAAAACGACATTGAAAATGATGAAAACTCACTAAACTCCGACCCGTTGCACGACTTAATTCCGGTACACTGAAGGTCACCCTGCAGACCGACTTGTTTGCGCATGAATAGTGAACGAAATATTTTACTGAGCAGATATGAAATATGTTTTTTCAAGTTTTCCGTTCCCAGCAAAGCGATTGATACAGGCGTATCGGCGGCAACTAACATGGAGTATGACTAATGTTGTGGAAACAAAAGCAAAAGCACTGTAAGATAAGACAAAGATTTTTTTAATCCTCTTAATAGTTTCGTTGTTCTTCCTGTGGTTTATAGTTCCATGGTGGAACATACTCAAAAGACGATTTTAAAATATAGATAACAGGTAGACGCTTTGACCTTTTGTTTTGAAATTTTCACAAATGATTGACAATGTGTTTATCTTCAAAACGCTGTTGGGGCATTGTTTTTGGTTGAGCAGTGTTACAACAATCGTACAGACAACTAGCCTGAGTGTTAATTTATGCATAAACTTAAATTAGTGAAATTTGAGTTGCTGCCCAGCAAAATTGACAACTGGTAGACAGTACCCGTAAATCAATTTTGACAGGAAACAGAGGCATGGTTTAGAAGCTAATTTTTTTTAAATCACTTGTAACCAAAAAAGCACATTTTTGTGCATATTTCTAACTACAGTGTGCATAAAAAAAAAAATACTTACAAAATTTTTAAATTCATACAATAAGTTTTGTGGACAAGGGAGGTCATTTTGGTTTCCTAATTAACTAATTAAAATACCTGTCAGGTAAACTGCATCTCTACCTTAAAGTTGCATCATTTTCTATATTTCTATATACATATATTAAAGTAATTTGCATCATATACCAAAATAAATACTGTAAAATACTATATTTTCACTTGGAGTTGATTTTACTTTATATATTAAGGTAGAAGCCTACTCATAAATTAAAATACCCCGAATTTATTCATTTTGCAATATAAGAATATTAACCTAAAAAAAGTTGGGGGTCACCAGCCTTTTTTTTGAGAAATTGATGGTTGTATTTTAGTGGAAAGTAGCCATTTTTACACTATTATGACACTTTTACCACAGGTTCATATGGCAGAGATAATATACAATATCTCAAAATCTAGCCTGGTGACATAGGCTGAAAAAATCATATATTGTTAATGATGGAGTACTTTTTGTTTTTCTGAATTATTTAAAAAATCTTCTGTTCTAAAAATAGCAATTTTCAAGATATATTAGTACACATTTCTCAACAATCTTAACTGTAACACACAAAATAATGCTATTTCATTGTACCATGGGACATTAGCTTCATGATTGTACATAAGAAACTAATGAACATTGTCATGCGATTTATGACCAATTTTGTCAAAAATTATGACTAGGCTTCTGCATGGAATTATTCAGCGAAAAATAAAATCCTGTAAATATACCTTTTTTCCTATATTTTACATTCAACTTGTCAAAAAAAATCAGTGAAAATAAATTCTATACAAAACACCCACAAATTTTTTTTTCTGCAAAAATTAATTCCAGCTAAAACAAAGTATTTACAGTAGTTGTTTGCAAGATGTGTACAATTCACAAATTATCATTTTATGACTCAAGTTAGGTCACATATAGAAATTTAACATGAGATGAGGAAATCGCTACATTCGCATTACAGGATCTCAGAATGTTGCGCAATTTCTTTGGTGAGGGATTACAGCAGATGCATTGACGTTAGTTGGGATCTATCCGCTTAGATTATTTTTGACATGTTTCGACTGTTCATATACATGTACATGTTTCAGGATGTGCCGACTTAGTCTCGACTATCATGATGTGCCAAGAACTTTAACATGAACCCCACTACTATAACCTTACAGCAATTAAGCCTTGTGTATATGTACATATACTAGGAAACGTACATTATGAACTCCTCAAAGACTGAGGACTTCGTGATGTACATTATACTATAACCCCAGGGGTGATTCCTAGAAAAACATGTTAAAGGGATGGGGTTAAATGGAATGGGTTGGATTGGATAGCAGTACACAGTAACACAGTGTAAAGCAATTCACCAGTGGGTTTTGAGAGTAATTTTGAGTAAATAATGTTAAGAAATCAGAACTTCTTATCAAGAATTGTCCAATTGTTTATTTTTTTGGAAATTAAGAAACAACATTTAGCTGGGATCTTCAAGATATGGAGTCAATGACTTTTGCAAGAAGTTATCCTCACTATCTAATCAATTTTTTTTATAAAATCTTGATTTTACACAAGTACGATTATATTTTACACAATGACAGTCAAACACATGAATACTGGTACCTTTGTACAGTGGAGCATAGACAGTGAGCATAAATATTCCAGTCTAGTCTTGAGTAACGGTTTGACGGCAGCAGGGACTTTGACGGTAGACATGATTGCACACAAGCTGAACCAAAAATGAATATCAACACGGTTTCACCTTCTAAGAATGGAGTATTACTAAGAAAGTATGTGGGAATTACCACAATTGACAGTGGGATTTTATACCAGGAAACCAAACAGGAAATAGACTATTGTATTCAGGAACTATTAAACATGTGCGGGGAGGTCCATTTATGGTTTACAGACTGACTCTAATTTAATCTCATTATTACATGCAGGTATTTTTGTTAAAAAACCCAGCTTTTTAGTACTAAAATAAAATGCTTCAATTTAAGCACCAGTGTTCTCTCAAGAGTGTGTTTATCTTGTGGTACTCACTCAAGCTTAAATTTTGAAGAAAATCGAAGTTATTTTATTATGTTAATTATAATGAGTATTGCAATCATAGGCTAATTAAATTACTGTGGAATACTTTATTTTCGCTGGAATTAATTTTCGCTGAAAAGAAGAATCATCCATTCAGCGAAAATAAATTCCAAGCGAAAATAAAGTATTCTACAGTAATCCATATTCATAAGTGAAGCAGCCAACATACTGGGGTGAAATGGTTAGGAGAACATGTACACACTGCCACCAGGTGGGAGATGTCTTGCATGACAATTCCAACAGATTAATCCCATTATAACAATATTTTTAAAGAAATAAAATCCGAGTTTTATTTTATTCCAATATTTATGTGCATGTGAACACAAATGTAGTTTATTTTGGTGGCTTTGGTTTATCATTTCACAGCCTTGACCCTGATTTTTGACACATTTAAGCACTGCCTATATCTGACCGTTATTCTGTCATTTGATAACATAATCAAGATGTACAGTAGCTTGAATTGAATAATAAATTAAACTAAGGTATTTAAACAAACAGTTTTTCTTCTTCTGTGATCGACTAGTGATGACAGGTAGAAATCCCCAATTCCTCAATTCTAATCAAACTATGTTATTTTGTAATGGGTAAGCTCCAATCTATCTGCCTGTAACAAGATTGAATATTTGGCAATCTTACAAACTCTGTAGCTCATAGATTGCAATTGCAGCGTGTTGCTAGTGACTATGACTCATAATTTGCAAGCTACATTGTTGGCCAGGCTGTGAAAAAAATTTCATGATCTATGGAATTACCCAAATGGAATTAAGTGTCTGACAAAACATGCAAGACGGTATAAAGCTAAACGACGGTATACCTAAAATATCTAGACAATGAACCTCAAAAAAACTGGCTCTAGTTCATATCTGTATGAAATTAACAAAGTTCAATTGGTGGGGGAGGGGGTGTTATATTAACCCTAACCCTCAACCAACGTCTAGAATCCCCAGTAACCTACATGTGTATTACAATTGAAGTCACTTTGCTAAGATTCCAGTGGGATGTCAAATTTAAGGACACTCTTGTTTTGAGTGGTGAGACTGTGCAGCGACTGATGTTATGAAGCCAAAGAATCAAGAAAGGCGTTGTACACTGATGTAAATAATTATTAAATATACATGTACGCATATGTCCTAATAGGATTGTTAAATGGCCCCCACAACACACGTTTGAATTCCATGTAAACAAGCAATTTATTTTTCACATATTGTATACGACTCCAATATTCAACACAACGTGGTGCAACGAACATTGCCCTTCAACCATCATTGCCGCAGTACATTTACATGTAAGCTTATGAGCTTTGATCCATGCATGCCATTTTTATTCAAATACAATTTCTTTTCAAGTTCAAACAATCTCAGGCACTTCTGGATCAGAGAAACAAGCACACCCCTTTTATATCAAGTATATGTTTTTTTTTATTTATAGACATACCAGGCATTGATGCCTTATTTTTAGCAACAGTTACACATGCATGGATCGTGTACATAGACCACTGAACATGCTGGAATCGGGTCATCTCTGGGCAATCAAAAAACAAACACATAAACATGACAATGTGTTGAAGTTTTTACTGTGCATTATAATAAATTATGT